GGAGGGAGGGGGGAAATACTGGATGGCATTGAGAAAGCAGAGGCAGTTTGAGGTGACAATATTATCCTGACCAGGATTGCTAATTGGACAGAACTCTTAAGTTAAATGTCCTGATTGCATCAGAAATTAGTTACAGGCATCTTGTTTTGTTTTGTCTTGTTTAGATTAAAAGGCTTTTGTTCTACAATTTATCATAAAGAATTCACCCTTTGGCAAAGGAGTTCCCCTTGCACCTCACTTGGTACTGATTCAGTACTGACTCAGAAGCTGCTTCTTATTGAATCAGCTAAAGTTAACACAGTCTCACCTGTGGTTTTATTTGGGAGGGAGGGGAAGGGAAAAGCATTTGCAGTGTAGGCAGTTCATCAAGACATGCACATAATTTTTATTTTAAAGGCAACATTAACTGATCAACCTTATAAACACATGCACTCTCACACACCTCTCTCTCTATATAAATCTCTTTCTCTGGAAAATGCAATAATGAATGCTCCTTTTGGAGCCTTCCCTCAGCCAAGTCACTCATCAAGTAGGTTTTACTATAGTTCCTGTAGCTTTCCTGAGCTAAGCTGAGGATTTCTATCTGGAAGTCCCAAGCTGGTTCCTCACTGGTATAGATTCCAGTGTCTGGGTATGCTAACTATTCCTTTTGTCTTTGGGCAGTAGCACCAGTGCTTGGGCTGTGTGCAGTTTTTCCCACTTTTATGAATAAAATGTAGAAATATCTTTAGGTAACAGTGGCTCAAGGACATTAGATAAGCCCAGTTAACAAGGGCATTTTGACCCATGCTCTTTGTCCCATGAATAGATAATATGCCCTTTTTTGAAAGGAGTTGCCTACAAGGAATGAAAATTCCCCACCTGGAAAAGAAATGTATGAATTCCTTGCAATTTAAATGAGTGTGGCCAGTCTTCATTCAAGTGTCATAAAAAGTATGATCACCAGGTAGTAAAAAGCTACCCATTTATCAGGTGTGGCACATTTCTGAGTGTGTAGTTATAAATGTGTCCTAATTGTGGCTTTGCCTATTTTTGGAAGCAGTCAACCTTGCCAGTAGAAGACATTATGCCACATTAGCTGCAAAAATACTGGAAGGCAGGGTTTCTTGAGTTGGAATTCCTGATCTGACATGGCAGGACTCAGAGTTGCAACTACAGTGGATGTTGATGTAGCCAAGCCAGCTTTAAAGCTATCCAGTGCTGGTGCCACAAGTAGTGCAGCCACAGCAACGTGGGTTTCCACATGGGATGCAAAACCCTACCATAAGTGGACTAAGTGCTCATTGCAGCAGTATCCAGCCCTGGTGCTCAACACTAGCTACCCCATATATACCAACAGCAATGTGCACATGCCTGAGCTAGGATTAAACAAGTAACAGTCATGCCTTTGGACTACAGAATAGACATACCCTTAAATGCACCAGTCTGCTTCTCACTACCTTCCATTTCCCCCTCTAAAATAGGGAGGTTATTTACTGACAAGCACAGCATAATCGAATTAAATACAGTCCTTTGGAGGTTTAAAAAAAAGCACTGTTCGCATTCCACCAGCATGCCTCATCCTCTTTAAAGGCTTATAGGAGCCCTGCATTTGAATCAGTACAGAAAGACAGAGCAGCTCGATCAGATCTGATGCTTCAAATGCCTCTCAGGGACATTTTGGATCAGGAGGAAGCCTGTTTCAAAACTGTTGCTATGCATGTTGTGGCTTGAAGAAAGGCATAGTGATTGCTGCAGTTTGTGCAAAACCTGTGCGTCCTGACAGAGCAGGACTAGTGCATACTGGACATATTTGTGTTCAGAGATTGTCGAGGTGTCTGTCCCTGAGCAGCGTAAGCGAAAAAAAGCCAGAACAGCAATTACAATAGTTCTCTTGGGCTTGCAGCATTCTCTAGTAATTAGGTTCAATTTTCTAACCCTCACCCCTTTTTCAGGTTTTTTATAGGGTGGGTTATAGTTTGCATTTAGTACTCATTCTTTTCTTATGAAAAGCAATGTTCTAAGGTTGTCTAGGCCTGTGCAAGAGCTAAAGACACTTGTGCATGGGGTCAGCAAGGATTTCTGCTGGGTTCACAAAAGGAAGAAAACTTCCCTACCAACTCAAAGAAACAGAGTAGAAATTGCTTCAGACCTTCTGTTACATACCATGGCTATCCCTGCAAATACTCGTCCTCCCACATCTTGGTATAGTGGAGAGGATGCCAGAGACTGGTGTAGACCAGGTCCTGTACCTAGAGAGGAATCCCCTGATGAGGAGAGTTAGCCAGCGTGAAACAAAGGGGATTGATCTCGGCAGAGAATCCAGATTCCTTTCTTCCTTAGAAATAATTTAAAAATACACGTATATCCTGGAGACCATTATTGCCAAGTACACAGAGTTGCTGGCACAAGGCAGAACAGCTGGGCCAAAACAAACAGCATCTCCCTGTCCCAAAAATCTTCAGCTGAAAGCCCATAAAATATTGTCTCCTATGGAGATGACAGCAAATGCATGTGGTTATGCTACAGTTGTGGTTACCAGCAAGCAAGCAAATAAAAAAATAGCACCCTACTGAGAAACACAGAGTATTTACTTTTCCAGAGGGAAGAGGCTTCATTAATTTAGTGAGCCTTCTGCACCCCCGCTTGACAGAGCCATGGTAATACAAGCCTCTCCAGCCCTTTGAAGATGATAACCAGCTGCTCTCATTCAGCAAGAAAAGGCTGAAAGAAGCAGCCTTAACCAGAGCAGCTCCTGCTCCTTCCTTCTTCCAGCCCTGCAAACAGGTCTGTGAGCATGCAGTCCCATGCATACACACAGACTTGCAGAGAGCTGTAATTTAGTGTTGGCAAGCCGGTCAATTGACTGCATATTTTTTGACTGATCAAAGATCAGTCAAATATTACAGACAGACTTGTGCAGAGCATAACTAACTGGTCAGTTTGGAGCAACATTCATAGCAAGAACCAAAGTAGGATGAAAACAAAAACTGCTGGGAAGACGGCAACCATATATCACAATCCAAGGTTAATGAAAAACATTTCAGGCAAAGATGAATATGTTTCAAGTGTGTTTTCTACTTGTGACTCAGAAGAAAGTGACGGTGAGAAGATTGGAAGTCAAAAGGAAGATGACATCAACTCAAAAAGGAAGAACGCAGACTAAGAGTGAAAATAAATTTAACTTTTATAACAACAAAACCTATTTAAGGGGGTTTTTTTATACTCCTGGAGTTTCTACAAAAAGTATGCTTTTGGTTTTATGAGGATGTAACTTTTTTGCAGTTTTCTTGGCAGAAATATGACTTTAAATGTTTTTGACACGTTTGTTAACAGAATTTTTTTTTGTTTTTTTTGCATTTGATTGTAAAATAAATGTATTATTTCAACATTAGATAATAAATTACTATCTTTTAAAATATAAATAGACAAAAATATTATTTGTATGTGGCAATTCTGGACACCCTTTTGGACCAGCCAATTGACACAACTTTATCTGACTATTCAAATACCCTATATTCTAATTCATTGCTTTTGCGCACACACCAGAGACCCACTGGCCTTTTCCCTTTACATTTCCCACAAGCTTAGCTCAGAAGGAGCATACCACGTGGCTTTGTTCCAGGGCATTCAGGATGCAGTCCCAGGTAAGTCAACTCAGGGCCTACGACATAGAGCAAGGAGTTCAAGTTAAAGGTTTCACATTTCTTTTGGGGAGTTTACCAGCACAGATAAGCGGATTAAACACCATAGCCCTGGGCTGAGCAATATCCTGCCTTTTTTCACCCCGTCACTGTACTCCCTCAAAACAGAGGGAAGGAGGCTGTGGCATGAGAGGCTTGGGGCGCATTGGCCAGTCCAAGAGTGTTGTTACATTCTACGCTTTTTGTGATCCCAGGGAGACAAAAATTAGTTCTTCCCACCTCAGACCCTTGTCACGGTCAGCTTTGAGACAGACGTCCCTCTCTATTGCCTTTGTTTCAAAGGCAGCAGTTTGGGGCTCACTTTTACTCAGGATCCAATTCCTGAGATGCATCTCAGACCTTAGTCATGGCCTAGACCTTGTTGCACTGTTTTAGCAAGGAGAAGTCCATCTGGGCAATGCCAGCCCTTGTGTTTTTGTGATGTCTTTCTAAGATGGATGTGAATGACAGACTTATAAGCCTTTACGGAGCTTTTGTAGGCCTCACACTTTTAAGGTAGACTGCAATGATACTAAACTGCCAAGTTCAAGTTTCAAGCAAAGTCAAACACAGCTGGGAATGCAGACTGTGACCTTGCCAGGGCATTCATAAGTGATGTTAGACCCAAGAACAGGAAAGTGTGCAGATGTCAGTCAGTATAAACCCTTGGGTCCCTTCCACTGTTGTGTACCTGGAATCAGACCCCTGCTGCACACTCACAGCCAGCTTGTGGACTCCTTAGTAACAGTAATTTGTAACAGGCACTCACATGAGTAATCAACTGCTCACCTCTAGCAGGGAGATTCACAGCCTGCCACTTAAACTACACTGGACTGGAAAAGTTTTGTAGAATCACACCAAGCCACTTTTTGTTGTTTTTAGATTGTAAAG